CTGCTTGGTGTGTGTGTGTGTGTGTGTGTGTGTGTGTGTGTGTGTGTGTGTGTGTGTGTGTGTGTGTGTGTGTGTGTGTGTGTGTGTGTGTGTGTGTGTGTGTGTGTGTGTGTGTGTGTGTGTGTGTGTGTGTGTGTGTGTGTGTGGTCACGATACCGATACCAAGTCAAGAATTGAGATTCGGATTCTTTTTCGATACTTTTCTTTTATTATTTTCATGATAAATAAAATTGTAGTTTATCTGTTAAGTGTTTTCTTACAACATGGTATTTTCTTTATACTTGAGTGTATGTGATTTCTTTGATAGTTAACTTTATATTTTATTAACATGTAATAGTAGGCAACAGTAATATAAATAATTATTGACTAAATGTACATTGCAGATGTTAGCCACATTGGTAAGTTAGCAAAAAAGATAACCATATTAGACAGTTATCATTGCCATTAATTGCCTCGGCAAACTACGAAAACGTTCATTTGTCACAAAATAAATTACACTGGTTTGACTTAGATTTGAGGGCATGGCTTGAGCATGATGTAATTATGATATCTATCACATTCGCTAACCTGTCTGGATGCCGGTCGGTGAGGTGCTTCGCGAAGTTTGATGTGTTGGCTCCCTTGGTTTGCAGGGATCTAAAACATGTCTCACAGACAGGCCTCGTGGTGTCCGTAGGCTTGCCCTCACTGTCAGAGATATAGCTCAAATACTTCCAAATGTCGCTTCTGGCATCTTTTGTGTCAACAAGCCGAGGCGCAGCGGCAGTTGCACTCCCACTTGCAGCCATGCTTCTCGTTTTCTCACATGCTCTGGCAGCTAGCGCGTGCACGAGAGAGGGGAGGGACTTGGAGCGTGCACGAGAGATGGGAGGCACTTAGAGCGTGCTTGAGAGGGGAGGCACTTAGAGCGTGCTTGAGAGGGGAGGGACTGCAGGCACGGCTGCAGTGCAGGGAGTGGAAGCAGAGCGCTGAACACACACGGCTCTTACTAAAACAGCGCTTTCTCACCGGAGTACTTTTCCCCGTCATTCTTAAAGTACCGATACTAATGAAACGGAGGAATCGTAACGTTTTTAACGGCAGGGTATCGCGGTACCTTTCAAGTATTGGTACTGTGTGTGTGTGTGTGTGTGTGTGTGTGTGTGTGTGTGTGTGTGTGTGTGTGTGTGTGTGTGTGTGTGTGTGTGTGTGTGTGTGTGTGTGTGTGGCCTTGCATTACTATACTTGTGGGGACCTAGATCTGTTTACATAGTCACGTGTGGGGACTCGCCTCCCTTATGGGGACAAAATGGAGGTCCCCATTAGGGGAATCATTAATTTTAGGGTGAAGACTTGGTTAGGTTTAGGATTAGGTTAAGGGTAAGGGTTAGGGTTAGGCATGTGTTGGTTAAGGTTAGGATAAGTCTCCAGGAAATGCATGTAAGTCAATGTAATGGTGTGTGTGTGTGTGTGTGTGTGTGTGTGTGTGTGTGGTGTGTGTGTGTGTGTGTGTGTGTGTGTGTGTGTGTGGTGTGTGTGTGTGTGTGTGTGTGTGTGTGTGTGTGTGTGTGTGTGTGTGTGTGTGTGTGTGTGTGTGTGTGTGTGTGTGTGTGTGTGTGTGTGTGTGTGTGTGTGTGAACTAATTAAACACAATATTTCATCTACTGTTGCACTGCCATGGATCTGGATTGGCTGCCTCTCAAATCCAAAATGACATTAGCAGAGAATTAGACAGCCAAAGCATCAATTGTGGGTCCTGAGCTAGAAAACCAAAACTGAGTCAGCTGGTTTCCCGAAGGAGATAGTCGCCACTCTGGTGGTTAAAATGTAACCAGGAGGGATTTCTTATTCCCCGAAATAAAATATGCATGACTTTGCTTAAAGTCTGAGCAGCCATGGAAAGGTTAGAAAGTTTGGGAGGAGATATTTAGTATCTTATAAAAGCAGCCAGTATTAAAGCCTTAACGTCTCATGGAAAAGTTGTACTCACTTGTGTGTATGGCACTGAATATAACTGAATATAACTTTTTTGTTATTAAGTTCTGCATAATGTCAGACAAATATGTAAAAAAAATGTACAGTAAGGCCTTATTTATAGAACCTACCAACCTGGATAACATTTGAGTTTAAGGAACCCTGTCCAATGGAAATGTCAGGATTTTGGACATTTGGTGTGAGAAAAGTTTGGAATTTGTATCCCTCTGTTTTGGAACAACTGTGAAATGTTATGAGCCACAACAATGCCGAAAAGATCTTGGGATTTTAGTGGGAATTATTCATTTGCAGGCTGTCATGCACCATCACTCACACACCAACGAACACGCGCAGATAGGCTTTGTTTTGTTTTTCAGTTTTTGTTACAGCTCAAGGTGAACTTTTGAATCTCCTGACTTGGAAGAAGAAGAAAAAACGGATCCCCCTTCCCTATTGAAACGCCTTCACTGAGGGCCTGTTTAGTGTGATGCACATTTATGTTTGAACAGTGCTAAGTGCGGAGAGTAGTGGAAAACAAAGGGGCTGATGTAAGAAGACAAACAGGAAGGCAAGAATGTGAGGTCACTGGAGGACAAAAGGAAGATTTGGTGCACTGCATAAAGAGAAACTCATTTCTTGTCGCAAAATATCAACAGACAAGAGGTTATTCTGTAGTCTCAGAGAGAAACATTTCAAAATCTGGACAAAAAGGAACAGAGATGACATTTCCTGAACTTAGCTGGCCAACACACTTTGACAAAAAGTTGGGTTTAGGCAAAGCAATATATCTTCTGCTTCACCGGCACTCTAGATCTATTTCTGCCTTCATCAGACTTTTTCAAAACATAGATACTGTGTCACCCCCACCTCCCCTGCCCGAAGGTTCAACAGTGTTTACCGAAAGGCACGGTAAATAAGAGTTTATTTTTAGATCAGTCACACTGTGAAGAAACTCACTGGGTGTATTTACGTTTAATATCTTTTCTCTATCCTTTTTCCTGACAGTGTACAAAGCACAGTGGCACCCATGCACACAAACTTTAACTGCCGCATGATAAAGCTCATCCAGAAGGCCGGTAACAAGGTCCCTGCATCAAAAGGATGACATTTGCTTTTCAGTGCTTCATTTAAGTGCTGCCTTTCATCCTCTGCAGAGCATTGAGATGCTCCTAATGCAGCTACCGACGCATACTAAACTTTATATTCCTAGAATCCAAAGCGTCTCCCTCTGTGGAACGCTGCAAACTTTTTTCTTCTCACAGTCAGAGCTGTCACAGTGAGCGGTGAGGCACGGGGTGTAAGAAATACCAGCAAACCATTGGTGATTATGCAGGAGAGGGAGAAAAAGGAGACTCTTAACTGAGAGTGTGAAAGTGGGAGAAGACAAAGAGGCAGCTCAACTGGCAACATGACAAATCTAAAAGACCAAAAAACTAGTTTACGCACAAATATAATCTCTGCATGTACAGTAATGGTGTTACAATAAAATAAGAGACACAGGCTACTTCATCCACTGGGAAATACATGACATACCTGTTTGATGAGGCTATTTTGAATCCTACAGGAGCTGTGTCTCAACCAATGTAATAGTACTAGTTTGACAGTGATTGTGTGTAATAATATTCCAAATACACAGTGAATGAAGTATGAAACTAGAACCAAAATGGACCAAACTTTTCAGGATGGACAGACTGATGGTGACATGAGGATGACAGCAGGGAGGGGGAGAGTGCCACCTATTGGAATAACAAAGACACTTCACTTCTGAAAAATACAATACATTAGAAACAGCTTCATGTCACACCTAGCAAAGCCATCTCTCATTGGTTCAGGGTGTGCATGTGTGGATTCTAATGGATGTGCTTGAATGCATCCCCATTGCCACTTCTTACAAATATCTAATTTTGCATTCGACACTTAAATAAAACAACCATGTGATAATCTTCAAGGGGATTAAATGGCAGATATTGCACCTTTTCACATGCGTCATTTCAACACATACTAAGAATACAGTGTTGATCGTGTTTGTCACACATGCCGTCTCACAACCTGAGTCATAAAACGTGCCTGCAAAACAGAAGCGTGTCCCATCATGTTTAAATCAGATTGTATTGCTTTTTCTCCTTTGGCTAAAATTGAATGTCACATTTCTACAGACAGAAATAAATCAAAAGCAACCATAAATAAATAAATATTCTGCTGTCCTTGTCCTTAGTCCTGTTGGTTCTTGCCCATTTCGGTCTGAGTCTGGATATTCAAAACAGATTCAACTGTCAAAAATGTTCTTGTTTGCCTTTTGAATACAAAAGGATCTTTAATGCAGTGAACTACCTCAAGAATAATATAGTTTTGTTACATTTAAGAAAGTTTAAACATTGTTAACGTTTACTTAAGTCATTTCTGCTGTTCTATGCTACTGGCCAAGAAAAGAAAACTTAGTATCACGTTAAAGCCTTGTTGTATTCATAATTTTAATAGAAATCTAAAATGTTGTGCCCTCAATGTTGTGTCAATTTAGATTTAAGTTATACATTTTAGTATCATGACAACTACGTGTTCGACATGATATGGATTTAGCCATACAATTTGTTCCATTAGATTGTATTGATGTCACATAAAATGCACTGAGTGCAAGCCCAGCTTGTTACATGTTAATGCATGTTAAATAGCCAACTGGGGAACAAGGTGTTGCTGCTGGGAATGATTACTCATTGCTCTCCCAGAACTACCCTGGGTAAATAAAGGGCCAAAAGTAGATAATTATGCTCTTTTTTTTCCTATACACACTTAAAAAATATATACCTGTGCATACTAAGAGACCGAGGGGCAAAAATAGACATCGACAGAGACAAGAGCATAATAAGGAGATTCATCTGTGACAATTAGGAGAACAGATTTTCTAAAAAACAATGTGACATATTTCTGCACGTTTATCCCAGATGGTAAGTAAAGATTGTGATTCCAACACCAAATGGTCAACAGCTAAGTAAGGAAGTAGGTGTTCCAATTATTTAGTGGTGAATGGAGAGCATTTTTTGCAGACATACCGAGCATGTTGAAGATAAAGTCCTTGGCGGTGTGGACCTCTAAGGCAGTCTGGTCTCCGAACTCTCCCTGCTCCAGTACCACCAGCTCGGACACCTGCGCTGACAACTGCTCCAGGGTGGCCCCCGACCGGAAGTCGACCTCTGACAGCTTCTTGGCGGGGGCTGGGGAGCGCGGGGCCACCGCACTCATCAGGGACTCCATGTCTACAACCCTGGAGGGTAGAGATAATATATCAGTTGTTTGGTTAGCTAGATTGGGTTTTTTTATTATCACAACAGCCCTATTTTCATTGCCAACTCAAATAAACTATGCTGTCACAGTGCCAATAACAACTTTTGGATTTGAAGCTAACTATTTAGCACCCTTGAACAAAACACAGGTCTTTGTTTGACCTGTTTTCACAATGTTCAGCTAACTGTATTTTTAGACTGATTTAGTTCTTAAGCCTTTGTGTTATTTCCATATAATGCTGGCCTTGTTTTCAAAAGCCCCATGTGAATCATGAGACTTTGAGGGGCAAGTCTGGAGAAACACATGACATCAGGGAAGAACTGAAATTACATTTTAGTGACAAACAAATATGCTGTAGCAATTACAGCTTTGATTAACATCCAGTCATTAAACCTGATGCAAATGTTTAATATTCTAACAGCCCACAAATGCACTTATAACATGATTAATAATATGTATGATTCACTTACTACATGCTTCTAACCTGATAAAATATTTTTTGTAAATAGTTCATGCCTTTAAGACGTATATTGTATCGTTCATTGTATCATAGCATGTCAAATAGTAAGAGTTGGTCGTGCTTAAGAAATGGGTAACATGTAGCCTGTTAAGGGGACAGCATATTTCTTGAAGGAATTAGCGTAAAGTGGAAAGGGCGTTACGCTTATTGAGTTATTACATGTTTAACTAGTTGTATTAAATACCGTGTCTTGTTAGTAACAAGTTACAAACTTGTAATGTAAACACAGTTCAGTGGAATGTCATGGCCTCTGCCCTACCAAACTAGGTCAATTAGCGAGCAAGCTCCTAGCCGCTAAGCTAATAGCACAGCAAATTAGCCAGCCTGCTGTCTAACATTAGCTAGCTAATTAGATCATTCGTAATAAACAGCACAATATCGTGGGCAGCGTTAGCTAGGTGCATATGACTGCTGTATAACTATATAAGCACACCATTGGACTCCCAGTAATAGGGTCGGTTTGGTACCTCGCCCAGTCAGCTAATTTCTTTTATTAGCTAAGTAGCTTTTATCAAATTAGCATGCTAGCTAACATGACAGGTGGGGATAGTGAAAATGCGAGCTCACATCCCCGTATACAAACTCACATTCACACTAAAAATATATAGCCACACACACGCTTGCACCCACATGCACTCGTTAGCTTGCGAGTAGCGGATCACAGTGCAACGATTAGCTATCAGGCTAAAGCTGCCAAGTATCGCAAACAGACACACACCCTTTACACAGTGATCCGAGGGAGTCTCTCCGCTATCTTCTATGTTTACTGTTATTGTGATTCCTGTGCTTCAATCCGCCTTCTTCAGCTGTCATTTCCAACAGGTCCCAGTCGCCACCTTCCCCCTGGCAACACCGTCCCAGAAATCATCATGGTCCTTGAGGATCCAGGGATTAGTAGTATGTGTGCCACGAACGCCCCACATTACAGGAGGACTACACACGGATTTGTGAGGTCAGGTTAAAAAATTGTGCCCGTGTCCTCGCAGATAAAATAAGGCTGTGCTGAGGTTTAGCAGTATAAGGCAGGGCGGTTTCACCAATGAACAGCCAATGTTTAGATGCATGGGAATGTGAGGAGTCCTTCCTGTTGTAAGGGGCTGCATGTGGAAGCACTGATTCTCCCCACAGTGCCCACCCACCCCTATATAATGATAATAGACCACCTGTTGATGGAGGGAGGGTATGTAAAGTGGATTACACAATGCATCTGAAGAGATCCGCCTAATATAATCATCCTTAAATGAATGATGGTATTATATGGTTATAAATGAGTAAGCCTATTATATAATTACATGTGTTAAAATAACTCTTGACTTTGTGAATGCATACAGGAGGAGGGAATTGCATACCAGGTAGAATGCTTTGAATATTCAATCTTAACCTACATTCAATTTATTTGAATAAATAAATGATATGCAATATACCCAACATATATAAAATTAATATATAAATAAATAGCTGGCCTCTTACATAATGTCTTAACAGAATCATGACACACTACGAGAAAAGGACCTCGTTGTAGTTTATTTTTTTACCATAACAGTGTGTTGGCTTTTATTACAGCATTTCTTTCTCACATTTTATAAAGTAAAGAGAGATTTCATTTCATTTTATTGTATTTATAGTCCCTATAGTGCAATAGTGCCATAACGCAACTCAATCACGTCTTTTTTATTAGACTAGTCACAAGATAAATCATATTTATATGGGGAGCTTCTGGTAGTGTTTGTTTCTCAATTTGAATAGATTGTGTAAAAGAAGCAACCATTTTACCTCTTTCTGCATTTTTGTATAATTTGTTATGCTCACTAAAAAACAGGTTCCACTATATAAAATACTTCCTGTCTATACAGTACGCATAAACCTCCTTAATTACACTTCCAAGTTATTCTTTTCCTGCTAAACTTCTTTGGATTGATGGTGTCTGGAATTACCTGTCGCACCTCAGCCTGTCGATGGATCATTACCGTCTCACATTGTGGGAAGAGCTGTCTGTGTATAGTACAATGCAGCGTGTGATTCATCAGCCTATTCTGTAGCATAAGTCCGACATTTTTCAAGGTAACTCTGTACCAAAGAGCACTTAATGAGCAAGTTGAGGGAGTGACATTACCTTTCTGCAAAATGAGAGGTTAGAGACGATCCTGGCCTTCAGCAGTGAGACAGTGAGACAGACAGCAAAAAGAAAACGCAATATCTCTCGAACTTTTTCTTTGGTTTCTTTTTAATCAGAAAGAAATGGAAAAACATTACCAGCTCGCTTGACATTCCTCAATATATCCCCCTGGGCTAGAATTGGTACCATAAAAATCTTCAAGTCGAATCCCAGGCATTTGATGGGAATGTGTCACGTCTGATATTCATGGATCAGTCTCTGAAGTTAGTGCTTATTCAGCAAAATTAGTGAAGGAGAAGTGATGCAAGAAAATAAAAGAAAGAAAGAGGGGAGGTGCCCTAAGATAATAATAGGGAAAGGTGGACGGAAGAGCAGGAGGAAGGAAAATGGATGAAAATATCATTTTTATTTCATTCTTTGCCTAGAGGACATTATTCAACTTCTGAAATCCTCCTCTTGCTGCCTTGATATTATTCCAACAGGATTTTTCAAAGATGTGTTGCCTTGCATGGCCTCAGATCTACTTCATATAGTAAACAAATCTCTTCACTCAGGTATTTTTCCACAGGCCCTGAAAACTGCAGTCATTAAACCGCTCTTAAAAAAGAATAATCTAGATGCTTCAGTAATGAACAATTACAGGCCCATATCAAACCTGCCATTTCTAGGTAAAATCATTGAAAAAGTTGTTTTTCAACAGTTGAGTAATTTCTTGCATTTAAATAACTATTTTGATGTGTTCCAGTCAGGCTTTCGTCCAAACCACAGCACTGAGACTGCTCTTGTAAAGGTCTTTAATGACATCCACTTAAACACAGACAGTGGCAGAACTTCAGTGTTAGTATTATTAGATCTCAGTGCTGCGTTTGACACTGTTGACCACAGCATATTACTAGACCGACTGGAAAACTGGGTGGGACTTTCGGAAACAGTTCTGAATTGGTTTGAATCCTACTTAAAGGACAGAAACAACTTTGTTTCTATAGGTAAATACACATCTGAGTTGACAAATATGACATGTGGGGTTCCTCAAGGCTCCATCTTGGGGCCTCTTCTCTTTAACATCTACATGCTACCACTGGCTCAGATAATGAAGAACAACAAAATAAGTTACCATAGCTATGCAGATGACACACAAATTTACGTAATAATTTCACCAGGAGACTATGCTCCAATTCAAACACTGAGTAAGTGCATTGAACAAATCAATGACTGGATGTGTCAGAACTTTCTCCAATTAAACAAAGATAAAACTGAGGTAATGGTTTTTGGAGCCAAGGCAGAACGTATAAAAGTTAGCGCTGAGCTTCAGTGTGCAATGTTCAAAACAACAGATAAAGCCAGAAATCTAGGTGTAGTCATGGACTCTGACCTGAGTTTCAACAGTCACATTAAAACAGTTACTAAATCAGCCTACTATCACCTAAAGAATATATCTAGGATTAAAAGACTAATGTCACAGCAGGATTTGGAAAAACTTGTCCATGCTTTTATCTTCAGTAGACTCGACTACTGCAATGGTGTCTTCACAGGTCTCACTAAAAAATCTATTAGGAAGCTGCAGCTGATTCAGAACGCTGCTGCTCGAGTCCTCACTAACACTAAGAAAGTGGATCACATCACTCCAGTTCTGAAGTCTTTACACTGGCTTCCTGTGTGTCAAAGAATAGATTTCAAAATACTGCTGCTGGTTTATAAAGCACTGAATGGTTTAGGCCCAAAATACATTTACTGACCTCCTGCTAAATTATGAACCATCCAGATCTCTCAGGTCTTCAGGGACTGGTCAGCTTTCTGTCCCCAGAGTCAGAACTAAACATGGAGAAGCAGCGTTCAGTTATTATGCTCCAAATATCTGGAACAAACTCCCAGAAACCTGCAGGTCCGCTGCAACTCTGACTACTTTTAAATCCAGGCTGAAGACTTTTCTTTTTGTCGCTGCTTTTAATTGAACTATTCATATCTTAGACTGCACTGTAACTTTTATCCATGTACTTTTTTTCTTTTAATGTTTAATTGACTGCACTGTAACTTTTATCCATGTATTTTTTCTTTTAATGTTTATTTTATTAGCTTTTCTTTTTAATGACTGATTTTAAATGCCATTTTCTTAATCTCTTTCATTTTTTGTAAAGCACTTTGAATTGCCTTGTGTTGAAAAGTGCTATATAAATAAACTTGCCTTGCCTTGCCTTTTGCACAAACAGGAATACAGAAATATATCTTAAGATCTTGCCTTGATCGGAGTATTCAGGTTGTTCCAAATACTTTGTTATACTATAAATATCTCTCAAACATTCATCGTTTCAAAAAGGGGTTTACGCATTTCAAAATGTACTACTAACAATACAAAACATTTAAAACTCTTTATTCCTTCTGCACTGAAAAAAATGAAATGTTAACTTCAAACATATGCATTATTTCAACAGATGTCACATAACTGTATTAGGTCACTTGAAAGCAATAATATTAAGTTTAACATATTATTTCATTTTAACTTAATATTATTGCTTTCAATTAACTAATTACAGTTCTGTGAAATCTGTTGACAAAATATATTTATTTAAAGTCAACGTTACAGTTATTGTAATGTGACTAACAAGCTGACAATGCTGTAGACTCTTCCACAAATGTCACAAATCCAATCTATATACTTATAAGGTTTTATTGTGTTTACACGAGTGTTCGGTTGAAGCACATGCACTTCCAAACTAATCTTGGAGAACAAAATTGTAGATTAATTGGAGAATTGTATTTTGGAATAACTGTGTAAAATCGACAACCAATGTCTATAAAGTGCGAGTACTATTCATGTTGATATTTTGTATACTAACTAACTCCTAATATACTATGCCAGTTAGTGTTGTGAAATTTATAGTATGCAATATGGATTGGTAATTGGACTAAACACGTACAAAGATATCACCTAGAGCAAGTGCTGATCAGTGATAAAATGATCTATATTTGCAGCCCATTGGGAAATGTTCTGGGAGCAAAATGTTTACTTCATGTTAACATGCCCTTAAACCCTTTTCTGCTCTCTGAAATGCAACTTGCTTCTGATGAGGGAGTGTTTAAATGTTACGGTTAAGCAGCTCACAGGGAAAAAAGGGTAGTTTACAACTCTAACGTTTGAGAGTTGTAAACTTTCACAGCGCTATTACAACAGACAGTTATCCCTTTACGCAGCATAACCCAAACCATCACCAACATCCAGCATCTCCCTGCTGGGTAATAACCCAGACACTGCGTTACTCTGCGAGACGACCGCCGCTGATAGTGGTTATGGTGATGCCTTAACAATGGCCGCTTCCCCTTGGTGTCATCCCGTTAGCTCCTCTGATGCATGGCCGTCATCACTGTGCTGCAGATTGGAGTGAAAGGATAGAGGATACAACTGTGAAAAAGGGGGCTGTAGTGACTCTGTGTCCATTGAAGTGAGGGAATAATCTATCTGAGGGTGTGCTGTAGCGCTGACCATCATTTAAGTGGCTAGAAAGGGTCAGCGTGGCGATGTGGGACGGCCATTACAGTCATTCCGCTTCACTGTGCAAAGAGCCGCCGCCTGATTGATGTCCGAGAGAGGATTTGGCACTGCTGTTGTGTGTATCATCATTGCCTGTGGGTTGATATGTGTGTGTCTCCTGGTCCATGTGAGCAAGATGGAGGAAACTGTGGCTAATCATGCAAGATGGCCAGCGTTTTATTCCAGAGGAGCACGCATTTCCACAGTCAGCCCATCTCATCCCATAAGCTCTCTATCACCCCCCTCGTTCATGACTGCTGACTCTCACACAAACACTCCCTCTTCATCTTTAACCAAAACAGGCTCTGACCAAGAAATCAATGGGACAGCGAGGCCTACCAGAAGGAGCTGATGTAATTAAATCCAACTGCAGAGTAAGAGAAAAAAAGCATAGGGAGGCTTGTGAAGTGCAGAGGAAGTCCCTGGAGGTATAATGAACAGTATCTACTGTTATTATCTTCTTTCTCCGACACTCACTACTTTACAGACTGAAGCAAAGCACCAGCAGTGGATTTGCTTTCAGACCCTCCTGCTTTATGACATGTGGATAAAATGGCAACATACAGAGCCTATAAATAATAATGAATACAAGAGGATTTAATGTGTACTCTTATCACTGAAATAGGACACACCTGAATCTTTGCAGGAGCTGCAGGAATTTGTCCTTAAACATGGAAATAACACGGTAAATCTATTTGCATCACAACATTTTGACTGGGACTATTTCCTGGCCAGGTAAATCGGTAAAACAAATGTTGGGAATACTCAATTTTGAAGGGGTTGAAAACGTTTTTAGTTATTTAGATAACTTTTGAATCCTCATTTGAAGACACTGTTAACTTGCTTAAAATGTATGAAAAGACAAACACTGAGAACTGACTAGCTCTGTCTCAATAACTTGGAAAGCTACAGAAAAGCACATTAATGAAGACACATTTGATGTGGTCGGCCACAGCAGAGCATCTTGATCCGGCTAGATCTTAACACAGGAGTGCTGTGCTGGCACCAACAGGGATCCACACTTCTGGATGTCAGCTGATAAATAAATCGCCCTAAAATAAGACTGCTGTGTGAAAGTGGTCAAATGTTGTCTTGCTAGTCAGTCACATGATTATCCCCTCAAGTATTTAACACGTACAGCTGAAAATGTGATGATGGCACTTCAATTATGCACCTGACAGTGCGGAACACGCTGTGACTTCCAGTCATGTGTCTCCTGTAAAGTTAAAAGTTGTGAGTCAGAGATATGAGACCGGGTGTCAGAGCGTTATCTGTTGCCTGGTCCTGGAATAGCAGAATGCTTCTCAATAGCTACTTTATTCTAATGAGGGTTGTATGAGTTGTGATCAAGAGCTCATTGGCACCGTGTGCAGTCGATAGCTCTTTCTCTTCTGAGCAGAGCCTCGGCTCCTGTGACGACCCCAGAAAATTGACCCGAAGATTTATACAGCTATTTTCTAAAGGTCTCCCATTCGTGGGCCTACAGTCAGGAAGGCAAATTAGTGTTTCAATGGATTTCAATTTGAATGAGGAGTGGTTGGAACACGGCCCTGGCTACGGGGAGGCCATGGGTAATGAACTACTTTGTGTTCTGCCACTTAGAGGATCAAATGCTCCAGGCTGTGAAGACATTCAGCACCGCAAGAGGGAGGATTTTCTTTGGCTTCTATAGGCGGTGGATCCTGAGTTTATCCGACCTTTACTGAGAACCACTCACTGAAGAGACCGCTGTTAAACTGGAATTGGCGTTTCTCAATTGGAATTGGATTGCATTCAGGTTTCGCAACTGTTAATTTACTCTGGATGCATTAATCCAGGTACATGTACCCATATCAGCAGTACTGTATTGGTAGTGAAAATGTTCTTCTGTCCATATATGATAAATGCATTGGAAGGAATTTAACAATTGACATTATCTAGACAGAAAATAGTAAAAAATGTATATTATGTACATAGTATCTAACCTATCCTGCACAATGCTACACGTGGCTTGATGTTTTAATGCTTTGTCAAATACTTTGTGACTATGTCTGGAAAAAGGGCTTTATAAATAAATGTTACTTACTATAGGTCTAATAATAATTTGAATTTCAGTCTGGACTATAATTGCCATTTAAGAGTTATTCCTAAAAGTACTCATTATGCAGAATTAACACATTCAGGGTGATTGTTTTATACAGTGAATTAGTCATTAATGTATTAACAAGTTGTAATTGTAATCGATCAGGTAGTCAGTTTAATCTGCATTATACATATATTCATTTATAAAAATGTATAAACCAATTACATGGTTTGTCTAATCAGCAAAGTACAACCTTTACAAGACAATGTAGATAGGTGAAAAGGACATGTATTAGGCAGATTGAAAATGTACTTGGAGAAGTAATGAAAAAGTCATGTGTAAAAATCAGGAAACCCAACAATGTGTAAGAAAAAGTATTTATTTCTCCTCATATTCCTTTCATTTTTGCTCTACTTCTGCAATACCACTGCTGTATACATTTACAGAAACATAAATAGAAACTGTATTTATTCACTGTTAAGTAAAACTTCAGGAACTTCTAGATTTGATTTCCAAGTTCAAAATTGACATACCAGTGGAAATGAGTCAACAATTTGTCGAGATGACACATGCTTTATTCTCTGTGTATCCATTTTAACTTAAGGGCAGCGATCAGAAACAGACAGCAATGGTAGAAAAGTGATAATCCTGTGACCTTATCTGCCGCTGACACCCACAACCCCTGGACATGAGCGATTAGATGGGCGACATTACTCAGCACTTCTAAACTCCCCCCCCCCCCCTGCAGTTCATCCATTAACAGTCTGACAGTCCAGCGTCACAGAGCGGCCCTGTGGAGGGGACGTGAACTGTTACAGTTCAGATAATTATAGCCAGCCAGCCAGCGATCATAGGCTACACCCCCCCATGGGAGCAATCTTGCGTAGAGCAGGGTCTCTCGGTCATGGACTGGTGGTACAGAGAGCCACAGAACATGCCCATGCCCGCTACAGGAGGGTCCCCGCCTGTAGAGAGGGGACACAGACAAACATTTTATAATTAGGTTACTGACAAAAGCAGATTAATTAGTCATTTATTAGGTTTAAAATGTAAGTTGCAGAAAATGTACTTGTTCCTTTTAGATTCAGCGGCACAAACAAAAACATTTATTTAAGAAGATTAAAGGCGGTCATATATTAAATTGAGTTATTTCGTACTTCTACTTAGTGTGAAAGAAAATGGTCTTGTTTCTTTTTAGATTCTGCCTCAAACTAAATTAGAAACATAAATCTGAAAATAGGACAAAATGTATATTGAACAAATCTGTACACTTCTGAATAATTCATTTATTTTATGGTTGCCTATTTTGTAAATGATATATTGTGCATAAATAGTAAATACACATGCCCTTAGTACTGAAGGTATACATAATATTATTACTTATTTATAATGTGATGATAACAGCCTATTGTTACTTCTCCTTCTTTTAAGGGAAAAAAACATATTTAAAAAGCTACCAGTCTCAATTTTTACCCCATTGTTTCAGTCATTTTTTATTCAATTAAATGTTTTCTTAATAACGGAATAAGCAATGCATGTTGTAGCTAAAATGTACTGTAGAGATGTGTGTAAAGGAGTTACAATAACAACTTCTCTTTCAATTCCATGCTGGTTTCTGAGTGGGGACAGACGGATTATGGCACTTAAATATTCCTTTTCAAAAGGGACACTTGAGGGCTAACAGTTGGTATAGGTTTGATACTCACCACAGCAGGTTTGCTGGAGTGGGCAGCACCCAGCAGAGCCAGGCTGTGGTAGAAATGATACTTGTTGGCCGTTTCAAATAGCTGGAAAAGCAAGACACAAAGAGAGAACAGCACTCAGACTAATCCTGCATAATCCAGATCATGACACGATCGAGACTGTGACAGTGATCAGGTAAAAAGTGTTGAAGTAAAAGCAATTTTTTAACATCAAAATGTGCCATCACAACAGCAATATTAACATACCACTCTCTGGTAGTCATCGGGGTCGCTGTTTTGAAGCCTAAAACAGAAAAATTACAAAATGAAAGATATAATATTACTTTCAAACACAAGTTGACACACTTTATGACAATTTAAATGGCATCAATACTAGTCTCTTATAAGTTCCCCACACAATACATTTGTTTTGAATGAGTAACTAATGTCTGAAGATTTTAAGTTTAGGCTTTTGTTGATGCTTTTGATCAATGGCAGTAGTGAATACTGAGGGGTATAAATATAACCTCAAATAGTGCAGCCCAAACATGATTATGTCTGATGTCTCGTAAAAAAATAAAATAGAGCAATGTTTAGCTTAATTCAGCTAATACTAACTTGACTTTCTGACTGCACGTTTGCCATTGACTCCTCCATGACACGCAGGGGGCGGTCACCTTAATTACAAAACTGTTTATTTAGTAAATTAGCATGCTGCTGCTTTGAGTGTCATTTGTATGCCAAACTAACTATTAGCCTATTCAACATTAGCAGCAGATATGTGTTATTTTTTAGTCCAGCAAATACGCCGTTATAGAAGCTAATCTTAAATTGGCATTTTTTGCAACGGAGGCTGGAGTGGTTAGCTTGACATGGCAGTGTTTCCCCGCTGTTTTACAATTCCAACCTAAAGGAAATACTATTGCATGAGTATGGCGAATACTCTAATGTGCAGTGACCCTACCGTGAGCCCCGTATGCCCCTGCTGCCACCGCAGAAGCCCCTGACAGAGCTGCTAACCTCCGGACAACAACAGCAGCGGTCATGTTTGGAAGCTGCGTGTTTATCCAACAAGCGGAAGACTGACAGCGATGCTGCCTTCACTGTCCTTAAGGAAAATCCGCCTTCTGAAATCAGAGGTTACGTAACACAAATAGTCAGTGTTGGAAAAAGTATTCAGATTCTTAACCTGAGTAAAAATTAGAATACCACACATTTCAATAAAAAGTTCTGCATGTAGAATGGTACTTCAGTAAAAGTACAAGAGTACGATTAGGAAAATGTACTTAAAGTATTCGGAGTAATAGCAGTTATTGCAAAACAAATATTAATATATTTTAAAGCAAGAGCAACACATATTTTTTAACAAAACAATCTTAATTCCAATAAATGTAATGTTAACCCACTCATTGTTTTAGTGAATTAAATATTATGTTAGATGATTTAATGTATACCAAATAATCATATTTTTAAAAGTTTTCTAAAGTTGTGTGCCTCAAAATCCATAAATGTAACTGGTAAATTAATATCTAAAAATAAATGTAGTTGAGTAAAAAGTACACAATTTGCTTCCAAAATGTAAAAAAGTAGAAGTATAAAGTCGTACACAATGAAAATGCTCGGGTAAAGTACAAGTACCCCAAATGTGTACTTAAGTACAGCACTTGAGTAAATATATGTATTTACTTTCCACCTCTGCTGGTGAGGTTTAACAAAGTAATACAAATAGTCAAACACATTGTAACATAACTGTATTACAGAAGATAGAGAATATAAACATCCGCTGATCTTGTGGCCTTTTGCATACCATTGTTGCTTATTCAGTTCACAAATTAAGTATACACATATCTTTAAACAACCAATTCATAAGATATGAATACACCAGATGGCGTAAATAGAATAGAAAATATGTCAGACTCATTTACACATCCTAGTCCACATCTCACGTTTTGATATTAACACAAATAATTCAATTGACAACTATTTGTCCCTTATTACGACTTTCTGTTTAGCCCATGAATGCACCACTGCGGTCATTCCACTGCTCCTGGCACATCCGCTTAGTGATGGGAATTTTGGCTCTTCTTGGTGAGCCGGATCATTTGGCTCGGCTCACCAAGAAGAGCCGGCTCTTTCGGCTCCCAAACGGCTCTTCAGTTTACCACATATTGTACCTTTTATAATTAAATCAAATGTAGCCCTGTTTTGACTAATGATTTATATGTGTACACATATATCACTTAAATTATTCAATACATCCTTTGTACTGAAGTATTCAAAAGTAAAAATGACATGTTTAATATAAATGATTTGCTGTGGCCAAATGTTTTCATTGCATTTACAGACCCTTGTAACTCTCTGATACCACCCAATGAATGCACTGACTTGCTAGAACCACGCTATACAAAGCAGATAGCAAAACCTATAAAAACGTAAGCATAGACATTTAAAAAAGGGGCTACTGTATGGACATTTTTAAATTATATTTAAAGAAAAGGCCGTGACAAAACAGCAGGGCTCTATTTCAGTAACTATTAACTATAGAAAAAAAGACAGCAGCAGCTGACATCAAATCTTTGCTGAGCCTAAGGATAATCAGAAATAAATAACATAGTGAAAATAAATATATTGCAATGCTCAAAACAGCAGCATCCAACCGTCTCTAATCATAAAAAATCATAATAAAAATAAATGTATTGCAATACGCAAAACAGCAGCATCCAACAGTCTCTAATCCTTGGATATTACATGTCACTGCATGCATGCACGGAGCAGCTGTAGCGCGGAGATCATCATCATATCATTCTGTCTTGTATTACTTAACAAAAAAACAAAAAAAAACACGGCTCGTTCGCGGGCGCGAGACGGCTCCCGTCTTTCACTTAAAAGACCGCGACCGACACATCACTAATCCCTATCCCTTTGTAGGCTTCAACCTAAATGGCGATCTGCCGTGCTACAGTTTCAGCCTTAGGTTCTTATTATTATACATCCATGGTTTCAGCCCACTGGTGAATTTCATAACTCTACCAAATAGATGTGACACTGACACGACACTTCAGCAGTCTTTAATCACCCCTAGGCTGTAAGCTACTGTCTGAGGCTATGTTAGTGTAGGCAGTTCAAACTCCAATGACTGGTAGCCTAAATTCAGACTTTCACTGCAGGAGAAACTGCACACAGGATTTAAGTAAAAAAGCACCTTATTTAATTATCATTTCATTCTGTGTAACATCTGGTCATATTCAGCCTTGAGAGCTGTAAAAATGCGCAAACTCACTGCTTTCACTGACTATTTCACAAATGGAAAAAGAAAATCATGTTTTCCCCTGCCTTAAGGCCTCATTCTGAATTGCATTATTATTGGCAGGCGTGAATTTTACTATTGTGCTGTATGAATAGGTAATTTTCCTCCACAGAGGGGTTGCTTGGCTTTAGAAAGGATTAAATACCCTTTTTCAGCATACACCATTGGCAGCAAATTGCATCATATCAATGAATGCTCAGCGGTGCAAAGGGTGCATTGGTGTGGCAGTCCTTTATAAAGCAGTGTAATTTGGAAAGCTATGTTGACTAAGCTTTTGTGCATTTCTCATAATGTTTGGACATTTTTTCCTGCAAGCAGAGATGGTAAGTTGAAGGCTAGAGTTACCCTTTGAAAACTAGTCCCTTCAGTATGCCTACCAAAAGGGGGTGCTGTATTGCTTTTCCATGCCGTGTGTGTGTGTTTGTGTGTGTGTGTGTGTGTGTGTGTACACATTGAGGGGGGCGGGAGGACTTCTTCCAATTATCATATTGAAATTACTTGGGGTCACACCGCATTACTGGGGAGTCACTGAAACACAGTTTCCGCTGAGCCTCATCCTTAGCTGACTTTGACGCAGCAGTAACACAATGCATACAATTAACACGTCCTAATGACCAAGTAACTAATTAAAAAGAAGCCCGATGAGTCACAAGCCTTCATCATCAAACCCAACCTGTGGACACTGACTGTTCGTGTTCTCCTTTTGGCATAATTTCTCTGCCCGCTTGTTGGTTTGGATCAGAGAAGTACACACATCCTTCACTCAAGTAGTACAGAGATACTCCTGTTGAGACTGAAAGTTAAAGTACTGGCTAAACTTCTTCTCAGTACAGAAGGACTTTGAAATGTAGGCTACTTAAAGGGCCCATGTCATGCTTTTCAGGTTATTACCCCTCCCCTAGTGTGTTATGAAGGTTTTTCTGCATGTAAACGGTCTGCAGAGTCAAAAACCCTCAAAGTACACCCTGTAGCGAGTACAACTCTAACACAGAGAAGACCTGTCTATGCTGCCCCAAAACGCCTCGTTGGAGATTTCTCATGTTCCGTTGTTTTCTTCCTGGGTTCTGTGACGTGTGAACACCCAAATCAACAACAAATCACCGGATTGGCCCAAATGGACCAATCCACGGAGCACCTCACACACCAGGATCCCTTGGCTAACTAACTGGGAGTCCCATTGACTTGCATAGAGCTCCCTGAACGCTGGTAATAGACGAGTTGGGATCGCGGAGGAATGCTCTCAGCAGACCCATTCTCACAGCGTTATAAACCTTTTTCTTACTCAATATCAAGCCACACTTATTGTTTTTACTTCGGCTGTGAGTGTTTGTGTGTGCTCAGGATGAGTTTCACTGTGTCTCGCTGTATCGCCGACCCGCTCCTCGCAGCAGCGAGCCTTGCAACGTCCCGACCAATCAGGGGGGGGGGGGGGCAGGAGCTCCAGCAAGCTGTTTAGGACAGAGAGTGAATACACATACTTTACAGAGATGCTGTATGAGAAACCAATGTGAGTTTGGAAAATTGCCCAATTTAAATCTACTCTAGTAGACCTCAACAATGGAATTATGATCAGTAGAAATGGCCATGACATGGGACCTTTAAGTAAAAAGTAGCCATCAATTCAAACTGTTTTATAGCTGGTAACTTCACCTAATTTTACATTAATAAACATTAAAGAACTTCTAATTCAAATTGTATTTCTGTCATTGTCATATATACCAATCGTGTTTTCTGTATGAAATTAGGTGGAAATAGGCGTGTGTTGACTCTAAATCATGTAGAAAGTACATGTTTGTGTTAAAATGTAAGGAGTAAAAGTAAAAAGTTGTCAGACAAAAGAATAGTTGAGTACTGATACCAGAAGAATCTACTAAAGTACAATAACGAAGTATTTGTATGGAGAAGTATCCTTGTTTTCTGTTAAATCCACTCACAGGTGATTTTGACCCTTGGCAGGTGGGACATCGAGGACAATGAAGTATGGCTTTACATCCTGTTTTCACAGACAATTTTCATTTCATTTCAAACCTTTATTTAACCAGCTAGGTCCCATTGAGATCATTGATCTCTTTTTCAAGGGAGACCTACAAGCAGCAGATTGTCCTGAGGTTCCTCCAGGAGCCGACATCCGTCTCACTTCAGCCTCCTCTCGTGCCTCGTCTCTGGTGACAGCTTCATTCTCAGACAAACCTCGGTGTTTGAGCAGAAGCATTTTGCATTTATGCGTCTGATCTCCTCGGATTGTTTGTCCCCGGCCTATCGTGTCCCCGTCCAAGAAAACATTTGGCTGTGGCGAAAGATGAATACAACCCGCTTCAAACAAGGAAACAGATTGAGCACTACCTGCAAATGGGAAGTTGTTATAAGATGAAATAAGATTTTTCGTCACGGCATGTTTAATCAAGGCATTGCCCATCATTTGACAAATAAAAAGAGCAGAAAATTAACAAACGTGAAATATTGACATAATCAAAATAGAATAAAACAGACCTAAAAAGTAAAAATATATACAAATAGACTATGAAGCCACTATGAAGGGCCTTATTTACATCAAGTGTGCAAGGAATGCCATATTCAATTAAATGTAAAATGTACAATGTGAAGAAAAGCCCAGTTATAACCAGAGGTGGGAGAAGTACTCAGATCTTGTACTTGAGTAAAAGTAGAAGTGCCAGAGTGTAGGAATACTCCGTGACAAGTAAATGTCCTGCATTCAAAATGTTACTCAAGTAAAAGTACAAAAGTATTAGCGTCAAAATATACTAAAAGT